GGTTCGAAAAATCACAATAAACCGACCCAACCCAACCCGTGAACAGCCCTAATGATAGAGACCATTCGGTGCACGTTAGCATTGAGCGAGCGGCCTTCAACTTCTTCTCTCTAAACTTGCTTTCTCCAATCTGAGCACAAGATGGATTCTCAAGTGAAGCTTTCAGTCGTGGTGAAGGTAATGGAACGAACTGGAGGATTTTGATGAATTTCTAAATTTTTCTTGTGTTTGTGATCTAGAAACAAGGATTTGTTTAGGAAGGTTATCATTGTATCTATGATCTCTTTAATTGTTAAAACAAAACAGAGAGTCAGAGAGAGATGAAGGAGAGATCGTTGCAGAAGAGAGAGAGAACACCTCAGGCTGGAACCGTTGCCGGAGATGAAGGAGAGATCGTTGCTGAAATCGTTTGAAAACACTCTCTGTAATATTGCCGGAGAGAGACCTCTGTAGTATGCCATCGGTTAAAGAAGAGATCGTCTATAATCTTCGGTTAAAGAAGAGATCATCTAAAAACTGTCTCTGGTATACCATCAGAGAGAGAGAGAATGCATAATCATTGTCAGAGATAAACCCTCTGCTATGCTGTCGAAGAGAGAGAGGGAAAAAGATTAAGTGGACAATTGAACGGACCATTGGGTATTTGAATTATGTCCGTTTAGGTCCACTAATTTACTGGACAATCAAATTTTGGACCAGTCCAGTCTGATGTAAACTTTGGACCGTCCAAATCGGTCCAACTGGTTATGGTCTGGGTGGGGTCCAATCCGAACTCGGTTCATTAACAGCCTTACCTACATGTATTCACCCATACTACAGTTGTACATTGGGAACATCTTCATGAATGGTAACAGGGCGGGGCAGGGATTGGAAGACACTCCCCATCCCTATCCTCATGAAAATCTTTATCCCTGTCTTCATCCCTATTTCTGTCAACAGGGGCAAGGTTATCCCCATCTCTGTAGGGATCTCCACTCCCTATGATTTTTTATATTATCAACCATTTTATTTTTATTTTTATTTTATTTGAAAATTAAAAATAAAATAATTAAAATTTACAATCCTATTAAAAAATATTCAAAATATATTTAATCATATTCGATCATATTTATAAAAATACTAATATATATATAAATACATGTATATATATATATATATTAGTAGAGATCCCCACTAAGCAAGGATTGAGACCCCTCTAGGTGGAGAGTGCTCTCCCCATCTCACCCATCCATGACAGGGAGCCGAGAAATGGAAAAAATTGTCATCCCTACGTTATATGCTACGCTATGAGTCCAGCCATTTTACTGTAATTTTATGGTTTTGTATTATTTAGTAAAATATGCCACATCAGCAAAAACATCGGTTTTCGAAAAAATAAAAACCGTTTACGACCTTTTCTGGCTAAGCAGCAGATCCGACGAGGCCCATACCCAAACCCATCACCTCCCTTCCCCCGCCAAATTGTTGTATATAAATGGCGAGGTCCAAACACAAGAACAATTGACCGCCACGGTCGTATCGACTGATCGGAGAAAGGAGGTTGCGGTTGTTCAGGGCCGGCCGGCCGGCCGGGACTTGGGCTTTCAGCGATTTTCTCTTCCGCGACCAGGCCAAACCAACCCCAACCATCACAGATATCATGTCTTCCAAGCAAGGTCGGCCTCCTTTTCTACGGAGCATGGAAATTAGGAGAGATTCATGTTGTTATTTGGTCTTCTGGAGGACCCTGGTTGAATTAGTTTTGTGAAAATAAGATCATCTCTGTTTGGTTTTGGTTTCTTTATTGTAGGTGGAAAAGCAAAGCCTCTGAAGCACCCAAAGGCTGAGAAGAAAGAATACGACGAGGTACATTGCCCTTGTACTTTTCGGATTTATTCGTTTTTCTCCTTCGTAAATTCATCATCTTGGATTCTTGGGTTTTGGTTCTTTTTTTTTTTCAATTAATCAGTTTTATGAGGATTCCTTCAGAAGCAGGATATTTATTATCATTGCAATAACTAGGATAATCGCCCTTCGTATTGCTTTTGTTTCTTTATTGATAGGGTGGAATATAGTTGGATCCTTTATTAGAGTTCTGATTACATGTTTTCTTTTCCCGAATTTATGGGCATATTTTTTTCATGGATTTGAATCCTCACCTTAAAGGATTCAAGTTCGGGGATTTTTCGGGACCAGCTTTAAGTTCAATACTCAGCATTTGCCCGTATCAATAGAATACATTTTTTGATGATTTATGTGGTCATTATTTTGTGGGAGTTCTAGAATTAATGAATTATCAGAATTGGAGAGAAAAGGAGATAGAATGAATTAATGTATGAAGCTCATAACATCAGTTGTTTTGAGTCTTGACTGAATTGTTTTGAGCTCATAACATCCATTTTGTGAGGCCTCAATACCTAACTTCCTATATTCTTATTTCTAGTTGAAAACTGGTGTCCATGGAGTTGCAACTCACATCTTATGCATTTAATTGAAATTTAAACGGAGGTCCTATGCCCCTGGATTTGGCACAAGTGATTAATGCTATAAAGGGGTACGCTGTATAAGTGGTTGCCATTGGCTATCTCTAAACCCATATGAAGCCACTATAGTTTTCTTTAGTGAGACCCTTCTATACACCTTTATGTTTGGTTTTGGAAACTCAGAGCTTTAAGTAACAATAATGTCAGATCTTTTTTTGGTAAAAATGTCAGATCAGGTCAAACTGAATCGAACTCAAAGTTGGAAAATGGTGTTCTTTGAATCCTTCTTTATGGTGTTGCCTTCGTCAATTTTAGAACTTCCAACCATGCTGATTGTAAACCACAAACCATGGCAGTTTCTTTTGTTTTTGATAAATAAATAGAACCTTTTATTAATTAGAAATATTAGCACATAAAAGCAGCCCATGGAGAGGCGCGAGCTGTGATCTCTCCACTAAAGAAGAAAACAAAAACAATAAGTTACAGTTTGTGCCCAATACAAAAGTTCCCTAGCTGCCCCTTGCTTGGCTAGACAATCTGTCATAGCATTTGCTGATCTCCCCACCCATTGTATTCTTAGGCACATGTTTCTTGTCAACAACTTAGACTTTTTAATTTCATTCCTGAAACACCAAACTGCTGACTCTGGGTTCTGCAACCAGTATATTAAGACCTTGGAATCACCCTCCACTATTAGTTGTTCCACCCCTAATTGAACTGCAAACTGTACACCTTGCAGGGCAGCAAACAATTTTACTCTAGTAGAGTCTCCCACTCCTAGAGGGCCTGAGAAGATAAGTATCGCATTCCTGACTTCATTCCTTGATACCCCACCTAACGCAAAGGAGCCTGGGTTTCCTGAACCGTTTCCATCAAAATTCAACTTCAAGAAACCTGCAGGAGGTGATGACCAGCTTGTTCTTACTCTAAACTTGGAAGAACAATTTCTTCAGCCTGTCAACCAGGAATACCAACTCTAAATCTGCCTTGAAACTGGATTTTATACTTTTATTTTGTAGTTAGGATGTAACCTATGATATAATGAGTCTTGGAATTAAAGAAATGGAGGTGTCCATGAGATGGAAGATGTTACCTCCTGTGCTTCGATCTGTTTGATATTCTATCTAGTACTTGCTAATGCAATGAATTTGCAGGAAAATGAAATCCATCCTATATTGGTTCCTTTTCATTGTCCGACTCCGAGCCTTAGAGATTTCTAGTGTGGAGTGTGGAGGACATGTTTTGACATTGCACACTCAGACAAGGATTGGATGTACATGCAAGGATTTCTATTGTTATTTGTTTCCAAAATCCAAATGCACATTTAACCATGTATTTGCATTTGTTTGGACTCCGGATCTCCTGCCCAAAAGAACTCTGCACACGTCTACCCACAACACACTACCCCGTGTATTGGGAACATCTCCCATGCATAATACTATGTAGGAGGATGAGATGTTCTCCATGTGTGGCTGTGATGTTATGTTGGTAGACGTGGGCAGGAGATCCGGACTTGTTTGTTTGTGTAAACCCTCTTTTTAGTATTTGGTAACTTGTAAATTTTGTGCACACAACAGGGGTAGCCCATCACCCCCCCCCAACCCCTGGTGGCAGTGGGATTTGATCCCAGGTCTCTACTCCGACAAGTCAGAGAACCTACCAACTGAGCCACCATCAGTTGGCACAAACACGTCATTGTGGGGAGAACCTTTTTGCACATATACAATTAGTACACATAAATGTGTGTACTCTGCCAGGAGTATGTTCCAAAACCTGCCAAAGTGGATATTGTATTGTGCTTTAGAGTTAGTCTCACTAATTTCCCTGGGTGATTTTCTTTAATGAGCCTGTTCCCTGACATCTTGGAGTTCAAAATTTTCTATCCTACAGGTTGATAAGGCTAATATTCAGAAGAAGAAACAAGAGGAAAAGGTATAAACATAAATCAGTTACTTGGGTGTCATACATTTGTTCTAGACCTGAGCAAATAACTTATTAAAGCTTGAATATGATTTGGGTTGTTGGTAGGCACTGAAGGAGCTGAGAGCCAAGGCATCCCAAAAGGGTACATTCGGAGGTGCGGGCCGCCTCAAGAAAAGCGGGAAGAAATGAGTGTTCACCACAATATCATTAGAGAAACTAGAGGTGATTGCATACGGTCAATTTGATAAAATGATCCTTTGAAGCATGGGATGACATCAAACTCATCCTTCCAAGCAAGCTACATACCTGTAATCTCCTCCGACTGTGTGAACTGAAGAGGAACTAAGTTGCATTCCCATTCATTTACAAAGCTTGGGTGCTTGTCGCTCAATGTTACTCTGAATCTTTGATATTTTCTTGTGGTTAATTTGGATGAAAAAAGGATGACAGTTTTATGAAATATATTAGTCTATTGGTAGAATTCCTTATTCCGATTTTGGTTTCGTTGCCTATGCAGTTAAAACTCTGTTAAGCTCAATTTCATCGATTTAAACACGAGTAAATCTGATGATAACACATTAACAATCATAAATTTATATATGTTTATTAAATGKATTAAACAAATGAGAAAGGGGAGTATAGAAATTTGCTCGGAGAAATCTATTGCTGTTTGGGTATAAAAATTACAAATATTGCTGGCAAGGTGTTTGATTTTTGGAATTGATGTGAAATCATCCAGATTCCAAAAGCCAGATGCTTTCCCTAATTTTGAAATCAACTATGTTTCAAATCCTGGCAACTGATCACTCGATGACAATCCAACCATCACTCTTTCGCTGGCGATTCCGTAACCGTAATGTATGAAACCCACTTATAAAACAAATGAGAATCAGTTCATCCTCACAGTATAAGTAAAGAATGCACTGATGATTTTTCCGCTTCTAATCACTGAAATCAAAATCGTAAATGGCAATAAAAAATGGCTCCAAATGCGTGCACCTTAAAAGAAGAATGCCCATAAACAAATTTATAGCTTTATACAACCCTTGTATGCAACTATGCATCGCCCACAATTTGACACCCAAGAAAAGAGATCCATGGAAAGACAAGTTTAGGGGTGGTTAATATTTAAAGAGAAATTTCCAGATCTAAAATATATTACATCTGTACACGTAGGAAAACCCCAAAACGAGGAACATGGTTAGTTTTTACTTCATGATTTGTTAGGTTTCCACAATAAATTCAAGGACTAGTTGTAAGACAAAATCAGGAACCAAAATGAAATGAAAATGAAACATCATTAACATTCCCACTGATACTACACTCCTGGAATTGCCTAACAAGAGTAAACTGTCTTACATTACTCAAAAAGGGCCAAAATGAAGTACTAGATACCTCGCCAAGACATTATTTAGACCGCAGAACTTGAAAAGAATACACCACTACATTGTTTGGCTAATCATTCTCACTTGCAAATTCCAAGTGGGTGAATCCCACTACAAATTGATATAGTTCTCTACCTGGTAGGATATTCACCATCTCAAGATTCTCAACAATGACCATTTGCACTCTGAAGCACCAGACACACCTTACCGGCATGCAAGCAAGTAATAGAAGACACCATAGATTGATGTGACACAGAATGTAGCAAGACTCAAGATCCCATCTCATCCACTATTAATTACATTACATCCTAGACTGCCTTTCTGGCTTATCAGGATCTTCCTTTTCAGGATCCTCCTCTTCTTCCTCTTTCTTTTCTTCTTCTTCCTCGTCTTCTTCAGGAGGATCAGCAGGCAATGGAGGAGGTAATGGTGTTTTCATTGGGCTGAACTGAGGGAATATATCAGGTCTACGCCCAGGCTTTGGTCTTTCCCATTCCTGCCATGTAAAAAAACATGTACAAATATAAACTTCTCTGGATAATATGCTTTTTGGAAAATGAATCCCACGACAATTTAGAAAGATGTTTTGCAGTAATTGAGTTCTGAGAAGGAATTGGAAATACAAGAAATAAGAACCAAGAAATGGCAAATGCCATGGGTTTCCTTGAGGATCTCTCTCCCTCCCTCCCTCCCAAAATACCCAACATGCATCAACTCTCCCTGAAAAGGTGGTCCAGTTACTTCCCATATGGCTAGTTGGCTACCTTGTTATTTTTACAACTTCACCCCAGTCATTAGCCCTCCCTTCAGCATCCCCCTCGTGGTTAAGTTAATGGCTTCAGAGTAGAACCATTCCATTCTTTCTATTTCATGGGATATATCCGAAGAAGGAAACAGAAGGTGGATTGACCCACCACCTAATCTAAGAGAGGCACATCTAATATCAACTAGAAAAATAGGCAGTGGTCATGTATTTACTCTTAACTGACAATTGGCCACAACTGATAGATCTCCACCCATTAAGCTTAATGGAACTTGCTAAAGAAACTTGATTAAAAAAAACAAATCTAATGGGTTACCTAGATAGTTGAAATAGGAGTATTCAAAACAAAGGCACAATCATTTACCATAGCCCAATTGATAAGAGCACTTGATTAGAGACAAAACCTAGAACTTTCATAAAGGTGTAGCCTCTCCCATTTAGGGGTACAATTTGGGATGAGTTAGCCTGAACGCAACCCAAAAAGTTTGGCTTGGGATTCAGGTTGAAAAATATGAACCTGACTTAAACTTTGGGCTGAGTAGTTAGGGTGTTAAGGCCTCAGGCAACCCAACCCAACATGTTATTATGTGCATCATCATCAACAATTTCAAGTTTTAATGCTGAGATTGTTTTATGTAACACAAGTATCATATATCCTAAAGCACATAACTTTTATCAATTGCCATTAATAAAAAAAAAATACCAATAAAAAAAAAGAACCATAACTTTGTCCCTATATATACACTAATGCTAAAGCTACTTAACCCTAATTAAATAATCCTAAGTCTAAGAAGAAACATTTTTTCAAGCAAAAAAATTAAAAGAAACAATTGGGCCAACTTGAAACCAACCCAACCTGATATTAGGGTTGGGGATTCAATAACTCAGGTTGAGCGAGGGTTGACCTAATTCAGCCCAACTTGCATCAAATTAGAAAGCAACATCCAGTTGCCAATGGAATAAAAATATACTATTGGTTGAAGTTCAAGATTCTTTCTCTCATAATGGCAAAAAGGAAGAGATCTAACATCTTGGCAAAACTTTTCATTATCTTGGATCCTGGCATGTGCAAACTCTCAAAAATGGGGGAGGTTAAAGGAATTCAATGTAAATACTTTTTTTCGGATAAAGGAACCACAAAAACCTTAATCCACTCTTGTATGACTAGTCCATTTTTCATGTTCTAAAATATTTTTTGTCATCATTCGAAAGAATCTTAACATATAAGAATGGAGGTAGATCTTAGGGATTCTTTCTGTATCTTAATTTTTTAATGTAACAGTTGAACCACGTGTACATCAACCCCATGCACAGGCTTGTCAACCATCACAGATGTAGAGCCATAGATGTTCCGGAACCATGCATCATGCATTCACCTTTGAAGACACTCAAAAAGATACAGGTTTAGACAACCACGCTACAGAAAGCTTTACAATTAAGGAAGGCAGAGTCTAACTCTAATTAGAGTGACTAGCCTTTTAAGCCTCGTTATGGTAGAGAGTTATAAAAGCCCTAGTTCAAGTCAAACTTAATGGTTTCTCAGCAGAATTATTCACTGGAGTATTGACATATAAAGATAGGGAAGAGAAAAAGTTAATGGGAATCATGGAATTCGTCTCTTTTGGAAGAGAAGATGCCCAAGCTCATTTCCTTGATCCAAGACTTACTCCAATATAACGCAAGGCCAATAATCTATGTATTGTTATTTTTGAAGGCCTAGTATTTTGATTGTGCCGTCAACAAGTACAATGAGTTTTATAAACTCCAGCTTCCACAGAGTGGATTCCAGTTCAAGGCAAGTAAAGATATAGTGGAGGCTGTGGAGCAATTTAGCCAGTCAAGTCTGCATGGATAAGGAAAGTATAAATTCCAGCTTGACACACATAGGGTTTTTCCTCCTAACTATAAATCACAGCAATAAGTCATTAAATAAGATAGTTTTAGTGAATTTCGTAAACATGAGGTAGAAATAGAAAAACTAAGCTCCATGTATAGTCTTCAAATATGAGTGACCTAAACATCACTTAATGAAATCAATCGGCCTAAACAGATTAACAATTGACCAGAACCCCGGAGTATTGGTTTCAATTGTTGAGTGAATTTTCCATTTTATATTATTGAAGCAGAAATAGAGGGAACCTTATTGATAATTAATATGTCCCTGTTAATTGGCAACAAGATAAAAGCAAGCGCAAAGGCATCCTATTCCCACCATAAAACTAAATGAGAACTTGCGATGAGATGACACTTACGATGGGGAAATCGAGAGGGGAACGGCGAGTCATCTTCTCTTCCTCAGGAGCCATGCAAACGACCTGATTCCTACGAGGCTTTATCACCGTCCGGTGTAAGAACAAAGGCATCGAAGCGAGTATGCATCTGGCCGGCCCATGTCGGAAGCTGCTAGAGGACAACGAGGCGGAAGATGATGATAATGATGATGCGGAGGCAACTACAGTCGAAGAAGAAGTTGAAGGTAAAGAATGAATCGACAGACAAATCGAAGCCATTATCTTTCCCGCTTGGTCAAAATTGCAATCTCTCTTTGTCTCTGGTTGGTCAGTTTTGCTTCTACTTTATCGTTCTCTACTGTCGCCTGCTTTGTTCGTTCTCCTTCGAATGCTTTATCGAGCAGCAGCGGCGACTGCGAACAGCCCCAGAGAGGCTTCAGACTCACCACCCACCTTTGCCCTATATCCGAAGCTCAGGCGGTTTCTTCTCAGTGAACCGATAAGCCATACCTTGTAAAACTTTGAACGGCTGAGATTAGCCGATATGAACTGTTTGATTCACGGTCTAGATCACCACATTATCCTTCCATGTGGGTCGTGTAGGAAGATTCCTCACCTACATCCAACTAGGAAAAACCTTTGGGTAAAATTACCAACAAAGAATGATTTCAATATTCTGTAGTTAAATAAGGTGCAGAATTGTAGATAACTCCAGATTTTCATAAACTTTGTCTTGTTCCTGGTATTTTGTAATTTATAATTTAATAGTATCAAATTAGAAATTACATCGGATATTTTTATTTTTGTATTTTTACTTTAAACATTATTTGAATAAAAAACTTTTAAAAATATACCCTTTTAAAGGGAAAAATCTAGGGAGAATGACCGTTCAACCCAGGGTCAGAATTCATAGGCCGAGGTAGGTGACAGCTTAGAATTGATGCCAATTTACGGGCAGATATGGGTGCATAGGGTGTGGGTTTTTGACCTTTTGAATGTTTATAGAATTGCAACATAATTCAAAATTCTATGATACAGAAAAGATATGGTATGAAAAGAATTTTGACCAATCAAAACCCACCCATGAATTTTGAAAAATAACATCATGTTCACTATCACTTTTATGATTATGGTTTATACGTCATTTGTTTTTTTGGATACCATATCTTTTCTATATCATATTCGAACCCTAAAAAAAATCACCCCACTCAAACATCAAAGCACAAAGTTATGGCCTCTAGAAATTTACATACATATTTAGTGTGCAGCCCATGACCTAGTCATTGGGTCAAGCTAGTCCAACCACCCGAGTCACATAGTTTTTTACCAGGTCAACAAATTTTTACCAATTTCAAAGGTTGTGTCTGGAAATGATGTAAAACGTCATTGAAGTAAAAGTTTACACTAGTTCGGTTTTGTCAACGTTTGGATGGAGTGTAAATCAAGATCAATGTAAAACTCCACTCCAATTTAGATTTGTTGATGTTTGGATGGAACGGAGTTTTACATCATAAATCAATGTAAAACCCCATCAAAAGTAAAATTTTACATTTATTATCAATGTATATACTACATCGATAAAATTGATGTAAAAACTCAATGCTTTTCTCCATGTTTTTCACAAGGTGCAAAATATCGTTACATATCATTCCGGGACCCTTCTGATAAGCCCCTATAGTGGGTGCATCGGGGGTCTGACCAGTTCAGGGGATGGAGGGGTCTTAGACAAGCTCCCCTGAACCAGTTTTGAAAAAAATAATAAAAATAAAGATAAAAAAACAAGTATCGAAATGCCCGATATACCTCTACCAACGTATGGATATTTTGAACCTTGGTTTTTCAAATTTCAACGATAACTTTTTTACTGTAACATTTTACATTGCTTCCAAGCACAGCCTAAGTGTTAATAAAACTAGACACAAAATCATGGCTAGATACCAATTCAACCCAATGAGGTGAACCACATATTGAAAAACACAGGTAGGAGATCGAGGATCTTGGGCGTCTCGCGTTATGCTTTTGTCAAAATTTCAATGAACCCATCCTAAAGTCCTTAGTCCAAAACAATGTAAAATGCTAACTCAAGCGAACCCGAATACAACCTCCAGAAGCACACCCGAACGAGATACCCAAACTTTTTTTAGAGGAAATGAGATATCCAAATGTGAAATGTTCCATGTTCAAGAAAGTCTTACTATATTGTGTTTTTGTCTTTCTGATTAAAGTTAGGTAAGTATAGCTTGTTGGATTCAAAGTGGACATTAGATCATCCATCCATGGCCAAATACAAAGTCCACCCAAAAGGAAGAGCTCGATTACAACTTCAGCTACTTATATTGCATTTAAACAAACCAGAAAAAGGAGAAGAGAAAAGTTGAAGACATTCAACTTTTGTCTTTGACTTTCCATTTTCCAGCCAAACGCTTCCGTGCAAGTGACAATCTAGACCTCTTTGGTTTCGTTCCCTCTTCCTCACTATCTTCACTATCCAAAACAATCACTTCTTCCGCAGTAGGTGAAGTTTCTTTCTCTTGCTGCTTGAAGCTATCACTTCCAAAATTTCTGTTGTCATATTGAGGAGGTAGGTGTACACCACAAATAACTGCTTGTGGCACAGACTTAGATGAATCTTCAGATAGGTACTGAGAATGTGAAAGTGAAGATTTGTCAACCACCACATTCTCCTTGTCATCAACATCCTTCTTCCTCAGCAATCCTAAGGACTCAGATGGCCTTGTACCCATTACATAGAACTTATGGCTCGCATTCATACTACAGTTTTGTTTGTCCACATTATGACCTTCATGGGGCTGTTGTTCATCAAGCTTACCAGATTGAGGAGGCGTCAGCAGGGACTTGGATGAAACTGTTGAAAGACATTTGGAGTGCACAAGTGATGGCCTATGAGTCAGCACCATGTTTTCCTTGACGTTGTCATCCCTCCTTTGGAGTGGGCCCAAAGACTCCAGTGATAGCTTACGGCGAATCCCTCTGAGCATCTTATTGCTCATGCTAGTGCATGTCTTCACCATTTGCCCACTGTGATCTTCATGAGGTTGGTTTTCATCATTCTTTCCAGCTTGTGGCATTGATAAATGATTCTCAGAGTGCACAGGTGACAACGGCTGAGAGACCAAAATATTCGCATTGTTATCAGCATACCTCATTCGAGATTGAGCCCCATGTTCCAGTGACAACTTCCTGGTGATTCCAAATGACTTCCTACTACTTGAGTTCATGTTGGCATCCACTGTTGTGACATCATGATACTGCTGAGGTTGTTCCCGGTCAACATCTTGGGCTTCGGGCATTGACAAAGAGTTGGATGAAACTGTTGAAAGATTTTGTGATTGTGAGACTGATAATCGGTCAGTTGCCATGGCATTTCCCTGGTTATGAGCATCCTTACTCTGCACTGGACCTGAAGATTCCAGTGACAATTTCCGGCTAATCCCATATAGCTTCTTGGGGCATAAGCCCACGCTTTTAGACCTTGTATCTGGTTCTCCAACTTCTACCTGTATTAAGAAGAAAGATAGCCTGTATGAGATGGACCAAGATGAAAGAAGAGAAGACAACCAACTGCAAGTGATCATTACCATGCTTGTGTTTGAATTTGCTAGAATATTTCCACCACCACCATTTCCACTAGTTTCAACCTTCGCATATATCTTGGTCATAGACCTTGCCTTTTGATCAAAAGCTTGCCTATTATATTTGTACTCTTTGCTCTGCACAATTGACCAGGGGAAAAATAATCAAGGCCACAAGTTTACTATTTCGCCCATGAACTGTTTAGCTCTGTCGTTTTCCTTAAACATACGACTTACTGCTTCACACATTAGGCCATCGTCAGGGTTGGGCTCACTCAATAACAACCCAATGCTAGTTAGCACGGTTGAAATGTTCAGAGATGGTTGCCAGGCACCCTGTAAAATGGAACTTCAACCTCGTCATGAATAGATCAATTAGAGCAGCAAAAATGAGCATTTTCTGACAAGAATAGCTTAGCCAATAACTGCAACAAGGTTTCTGACATACTAAATGCGAGTATACTCAATTCAAAATGGAGTCTTTCAAATATGACATAAGTTTGTCTGTTCATAGTTGTTTACATACCACGTGTCAAAGTTCTCAAAATCTCATAACGATTCCAAAGCCAATGTAAAGGCCTTCAAGTTTCAACAAGATGGAAACTAAAGTTGCCATTTTTCTCATCAGGAAAACAAATATTAATTGCAAAGTGTTACTCAAATCATATGAGATGAAATTCACTATACAACCATAAAATTGTATAAAATATTAGAAATGTATAAATAATTAAAAATATTTAAAAAAAAGAACATAGAAGAGAACTGAGGAAAAAAAGAAAAGAAAATATAAGAATCTCACAACGAGAAGGCGAAATAAACTAGGATTAGAAGACAGAAATATACCAATGATTAAACAATGAAAAACTGAGAAACGAAATTTGAAGCTGAAAAGAAGTAAAGAAAAGACACATCAGCTGCCAGTATTTGGCATTGTAAGTTGTAAACAGAGATGAGAGAGTAATAACATGACCAAGAAGGAGGGAAAGAGAGGAGAGAAATAAGAACTGGAAGCCCTTGAAAACCATACCAAGATTTTTTTCTCTTCAATTGGCCAACACCAATGGTAATCTTTGGGGTTTAAAAGAATAGAAAACAAATTTAACCAGAAGTCTTCATGCCAAAACATTGCTTTGTGTACTTTATTTTCATTATAAAAAATAAGTGAGGCAGAAATGCATATGCTGAGATGGACAAGTGAAAAAATTAGAAAGGATATGATCAGAAATGCAGTCATTCAAAGTAACATAGGAGTAGCACCAATAGATAAGTGATAGAAAGTAGACCTAGATGATTTAGTCACATGTATAGAAGACTGAAGACCATCAACATCACCCATAAGAAGTGATTTATTGCAAGTTGAAGGGGCTAAAAGGGCTAGGGGGAGACTATAAAGGACTTGGGTAGAAGTAGTAAACAAATGATTTAAGTGTCAATAAATTACCAATGGATATGGCCTTAAACAGAACAGAATAGCAAAACAGGATATAAAACAGGATATATGTTTCTGACCCCATGTATTTGGGATAAGGCTTGGATGATGATGAAGATGAAGAGCATATATTGGTCATAAAGGTGTGCAATACTTCATGTTTAACCACTAAATACCTGTAAAACAAAATTTTAAGCATTGACTTCATAGAATACAATAATTCCTCAATAAAAATCTGAGTGACAAGTGACCACACATTTTGCTCAGATTAGTTGGGAAGTTGCTTCAGCAACAGGTTACAAGGGAGTGCCATGCTCAAGGAAAATTCTTATGGTATTGAACTTTAGTTTTGAGTTATCCCACTAAAATTGTAGAGGTTGCAATGGGCTTTCTATCTTCCTTTGTTCTCTTATATTTGACCTATTTTGGTCATCACATCACACAAACATCTAGCATTTCATTTATCTGAGGAGCCCAACAAGAACCAAGTACAATCTATAAGCATTTGCTGGAACCGAAGATTTGTCTAACACAGACACCAAACCTGTTCACGGACCGGGCTTTGGGCCTGACTTACACTATGTCAGGCTCGGGCTTCAGGCTGGCCCCATTCAAAAATTGGAAAAAAGCCAAGCCCGAACCTAACAAAAACCATACCCTAACAAAAACTAAAAGAAAAAATATTATGGTAAAGAAACATGTTTTATGGTACAAGTACCATGAAAGCAATAATAGGGTAGTAAATCATGCACACTGAACTACAAATGTTGCACCCCAAGACCACTATACACTTATTGTACGTATTACATAGATGGTGAACCATTTACAGCCTTGACAATGCAACATTTATAGAATATCCGTCTTGATGTGCAACATATAAACCATAAAATGCTTCGCAATATCAGTGCTGTAAAAAAATGTACTGTACATTTTGCATAAAACCCGAACATCAATTTATTGGATCTACATATATAACATTTTCAAGAAACATGAATTTTCATGAGGGTACTGAGAAATGAAGATTCCAGTACATCAAAAGTTCTTGTGGACACATGGATGACCAAAACAGCAAGAATTGATTCTCTAGCACTAGCAGTTGAATGCAACCCGGCTAGTTAGTGCAGAATAGCATTGTGATTCAGAAATCTCTTAACAAATAAGAAATAAATGGAGGGAGGGAGGGAAAGGGATAGAGAGGCTCCAGCATAGAGTCACCAGAGGAAAAGCTTTTGAACATCAGACCCAAAGAAAAGAAGACGGACAGAATACCCTCCTTTACAGTAACATTAGGGATCCTATAAAAACTATTCCCTTGACCTAAAGACCCCTAAGTACTCTCCAATTCATACCTATGATTGGTATGACTTTAAAACTGACCAAAACTCCTTAGAAACCTTTTTAAAAATTGGCTTTTTGGTCCATTATAAGTGAGAAAAAAGATAACTTATAAAACAAATACCTACTAAAATAAATTCAAAAACTACTAGGAACTCCAGTCCAAAAACTCAAATAGCTAAAAAAATTGAAATTCCATTTCAGCTACCCATAAATCAGCCGTAACTCTCTCAGTTGCTCTTGAATCATGCAATCTTGATTTTTGGTGGATAGATATTTGAATGGCCTATCTATTGGCACCAAACCTATGCCAAATAGGCAGGTTCTGAACCCTTTCATCTGGACACAAGTTGAGTTAAGGATTTAAAACAGTTTTCTCTCCAGTTTTGGGTTGAGGTCCAAATTACCTTCAGTATTATCTCCTTTACAACTCACAAAATAACACTATAAGACGGAGAAAAGGGCTAGGAAAGGGTGGTGACATTTAGCATACCATCTTAATGAAATCAGGGAAATTTTTATAACAAGTACGGTTTGGTTTAGTCAAATAGTATATGCATCAATGCATGTAATATTCTTTCTACCTGGCACAGGCCATAATATTTTTTGTTCAAAAAAGAACTAGAAATATTCAACTGAGGTACTCAAAACGATTATACTAGCTATTAAACTGCCGGTACATCTGGTAGCAGCTTCTCCTGTCCCTGCGCTAGATGACTTGTAGGCAACAACAAACTTCAACTATGGTTTCACCGGGAAAAAAAACGAAAATGAAAAACGATAGAAAATTTAAACCAATACTGCTGTAAGAGCCATTACAGAATTCCATTGGAGCAAACAGACTTCAACCAAGCTCAGAACTCCACAGAGTTCTCAACGTGGGCCTAATTCACCTTCCTTTTAAGAAGATGATTTCTACCCCTTCCCAAATGATTAAAACAACAAGCCCCGTAAAAGTGGAATAACTAAAATGACAAAGCAAAGGAAGGTGATTAAGATCCTCATTGACCCTATGCGTATCACCAATTGAAAATTATAAAATTAAGGAACACAAACTAACCTAAAAGCTTCATGGTTCATATAAGACCAGTGTATTCAGTATGGTCTACATTCGACAACCATTCAGAGATAGATCGTAGTGCATAGATGCTAAATGAAGCTATTAAACATCAAGTTCTGGGACGCAAAAACGCTACACTCTCGTAGAATACCTTCGGTGGAAGATTAAGAATATCCAGGCAAATCCGACCTCCATTGTCAATATTAGGATGATATATAGGCGTCGCAAAAGTCACATTGGGAGGTTGAAACGGATACCTGCAATTGCAAAACCCAGAAAAAAGGATTTGGGAGTAAATCAAAATAATGAAAAAAAAAGAGAGTTTAAAGTTTAGATAATAGGCACGACCACGATCTTCCCCAGTACAGTAATTAAAAAGGTTAAAAAAAATAAAAAGAAAAACGGACCTTTCGGGTATTTGAATCTTGATCTTAAAAACACCTCCAGCATAAACGGTTCCTTCGGGGCCTTCGATCTCTTGAGTCGAAATATTGAGAAAGATTGGAGAAGTTGGCCGGATTGGAATTAATAAGTTTCAATTCCTTTAGAAAAAAATATGTGATAGAGATAGAACGAAACTGAGAAAAAAAGTTGAATCAAATGAAGCTTACGGGCATCGATGCTGGACAAGGAAGAGAAATCGGCGTCACCGGAGAGCAGCGGAAGCGTGACGCCGGGAGGTGGGTCGGTGAGAAGGAGCTTTAGCTCCCTTTGCATTCGCAGGTTGAGTCTTGCAGCTTGAGCCATTTTCAAGCTTCCCTTGAAAGCCGGACTCCGTCGTCTTCCTTTTCTTCGTGACTGGAAAATGGAAATGCCCAAATGAAAAAGAACGCGCGGGCAGGAGAGCGGGAAATTTTAAAATTGAAACTGGCAATGGCAGTTTTGTAATCTCGATCGTCCAAATAGTAGAATCCACGGAGACGATAAAACATTAAAACCCTATCAGAAAATCTTGCACCGTTGGATTTCAGAAACGGATGGTCTGTATCAATATGCAAATTTGAAGAGGACTCGTTTCAGCGTTTGCAAGTTCGGAACTTCGGATCTGTTCGTCACAAAGCGCTCCTCTTACCAACCTCACAGCATGACAATCACAGGAGATATTCTCAATGCACGCTGAAATGTGGATGTAGGGCGTTTGTAGAGCGCCTTCTGTGGACACAGATGTAAATTTGGAGATTGAGGCCAGATTTACTCTCAATAAAACTCATTCCAAGTTCCACATCTCACACATGGTTGGTCCTACTTTTCTGGTGGGTCCTAGTATGAGATGTGCCTGCAGTTGTGGTAGGATGCTGGAATGTGTTTTATTGGCAAGACATCCAAACTCTAACATCACATCAGTACTTCACATGCACATCTCAGCATGTATTAGGAATATCTATCATATTTGTCATGGGAAGATGTTCTCAATGCACGATTGAAATGTGTTGTGGGGTGCTGATGTGAATTCTAAACTCCAGCATCTGGTATTAGAGACTCGTGATATCCCACCCTCTATATAAACTCAATGAGACTGTGTTTGGCCAGGTTTTTCCTCTCTAAGTGAGCTTCTTAAGATGGCTTTTTAGAAAATCAGTTAATGAGCACTTGATAATGTGTTTTTCCGGTGACCTTTTCTGTTGAAAAAATAGAGCCTTTTTTACAATAGCCTGCTTCAAAACAGGTTTCTGCCACTATAAATAAACACACACACATGAACACTTATTTTAGCCCATTTGAGCCCTTCAACATCATCTTTTGGCTTCCAAATGAATTGACAACTCCATTAATGTTGCCATATGATTTGCATATGGTCTATTTGAGCCCAAAGTTCAACGTAGAAGTAAAACTTATAATTATGATCTATTTTCTAAATTTTGATAATATACAAGAAGTACAATATGAACATGGTGTTGTGTAAGGAAGGTTGTTATTAAAAAACAATTAATTAAAATATGAATGAAGTTCAACATACTATATTAGAGTACGAATGAAGTTTACCAAGTTATATGAACTCCATAATATTAATAAGTTACATCAAATACCATCCTATATCATATCATTTAGTCAAATATAATGAATTAATGATAATAGGGAAATTATTTAAAATTCATCATAAAATTTCAGCATTTTTTTTAAATTCATCATAATTTTTCAAAACGTCCACGGACCCATGTAAGTAACTTTACAATAAATAAACTAACGGTGTTAATAGATTACTATTTACCCTTTATTATATTCAACCAGTTCTGCTTCCATTTCTTTACTCTCTCTCTCTCTCTCCCTCTCTACTTGTTCTTCAAGCATCAGCTACCCTTTCAACTGGTACAACCTGATCAGTATTTGGCCCCAACTTAGGTCGCTTAGCTTCATAATCTTTCACAACCACCTTGATTGCATCTTCCACAAGCATGCTGCAATGTAATTTTAGTGGGGGAAGCGAGGGATGCTTTGCAATATCCGTGTTTTTTTTTTTATGGCTAAGACTTCTTCCATTTGTTTCCCCTTTACCCATTCTGTGGCTACAGAAGAAGAAGCAATGGTAGAACCGCATCTGAAGGTCTTGAAGTAGGCATCGACAATTTTCCCAGATTCTTCATCAACCTTTATCTAAAGCTTCATGTAATCACCGCAACCAGGAGCACCAACAAGTCCCGTCTCGACCATAGCATCGTTCTTGTCAAAGGATCCAATGTTACGGAGATTATTGAAGTGATCGACGACCCTCTCGTGGTAGAGACATAGCAGAGTTTGTGATTGCGTTTGGTTCCTCTATCTCAAAAACCCTAGAAATTTCTTACAACCAAGCCTCAACATTTTATTATCCTCCCAAATTAAAATATGTTCTTGTTTATTCTCTAATTCTCTAGAAGCAACAATAGCAGCAAGATAACTTCGGAGAAGAAAAAGCGGTATGGTTGAGATGTATGATGCCCTTCACCCCTTCCCTCTTTTATGACAGATAGGAGGAAAAAAGGGGTGGGGAACCAAAAGGCCTTTTGTTAACTGGATATTTAAAGGTTTGGATTGTTCTTTATTGATTTCCGTTTATTTTTCTGTCGATGATGAGCAGAAGCCAAGGTGAATGATATTGAACTACAAATAAGGAGGAGGTTTGGCATGAGAAAATAGAAGCATAGACCACGAGGACTCTGGGATCGATAACAATGCTCTATAATCAATAGAGTTAGCACAGTTTCCACCTTACGGAAATTGCAATCAAAGGCGAATTGTATTGAATGGAAAATAAAATGACCCGAATCTCCCCAAACATCTCCTATCAATTAGATGGGAGAGCGTCAACTTGACAGACCATTACAATAGAGAAGAAGAAGAAGGGGGAGAGAAGGAAAAGAGAAATGGGGAGAAGGAGGAGAAGGAAGAGAGAGAGAGAGAAGGGGCACCTTTGGTTTGTTGTGAGGTAGAAGACAATGAATACTGCTTCTTCTTCTGACTCACCATTCAGGGGCAGTTTGGTCATAAAAATTGCATCAATGCTGACATGGACAACTTCTGTCAATGAACACCAATGGTGTTCTTACAGATGGCGGACGTTTTGAAAAGTTATGATAAGTTAAAGAGAAATGCTAAAAAGTGATGATGAGATTTAAATAATTAATAAAACCCACCAATAAACATAAGTTCATAACCTAATACAAAAAAAAAAAGGTTATATTTAGTGGTGGGTATCTTGCAAATTAAATTATTTTGCAAGAATAATTCGATGAGTGTTGGATAAACAGAAAATATAATATTACATTCTAGAACATGGACCTTATTAATATGATATTTATTCTCGAGAAATATCCTAAGAGTAATAGGATATTATTTTCAATAAACCCACTAGAGTGTAATGAGTTAAAGTTCACAATAAGGAAAATCAAATTCATGAACATTAAAGATAGAATAACATCTAAAAAAAGATTCAATGTGATAGTTCTCTACTCCACTAACCATTAAAGTTCGAATAACATATACATCATTAGAAAATGCAACAACTCATATATGCTTATAAAAAAATAACGAAAAGCAATGAACTTGAACTTCTATTGTTAATGAAACTAGAATAATGCATAGAAAGTATAATAATTTATTATTTAATGTGCAAATAACTATTTGTTATAATAATATCCCATTAAAGTGTAAATTATTTTAATGAAATCGACTAGTTATTTTCGATGGAAATGTTAATAATTTTCAATGGAACTATAATAACTCTGTTCAAATAATTATTTTTTTTATAGAAAATTTTCATGTCACTAGAATAATGTTGAGACTATAATTAACTAGAATAATTAATTTATCAGTAATTAATAGAAATTTAGGGATTGTTTTGCTCTCCATCACAAAGTGCTAATAGTAAATTTTCAACTATTATTTTCTAACCATTAATAGGATACAAAGATTTAACCTCCCCAAATATCATATAAAGATTGGCATAATGAGATCTAAAAAAACACAAACTCAAATCAACTAGGAATGCAAATCTAGAGTGTTATGTTTCTTCGATTGGGATAGGGTTTTTGACAAAAAAAATACAAGCATATAAAACGAAAGAAAAAAAAAAGATGAAAACAAAAGAATAATGCATACCTATTACAGTCGCAATTCCATACAAATTGTTTGGAATAATGGTATCATGATGAGAGGAAATAAGAAAAATAAGATGACAAATGTGTTAAATGGTTTCATGAAGGAAGACCTCTTGTCGAGGTCTCACCGACCAGACTGAGGTCCAAGTAGCAACCTGTCACTTGTGTGACGTGGTGGTCAACCTGCCTACACCTCCGCTGACTTAAGCATCAGGGTGCCCACTTCGAGTAAAGCAACCCAGATACTTTGATATTGTTTTCTTGCAACTCGACTAGGGAACCTCATTAGCCCAACCTTCAAGCTGCCCTCCAAGAGGGAGTTGTTCGATCACGCATCATCAAATAGTATATATCATTTGATTTTTTATTTAATTTATTTATGATATTCAATATCCCATTGCAATCCAAATTTAATAATAATTCAAAATACAAACAAATCAAATTTGGTTCTACCTATGTTCCATCTGGTTTGATTCATTTGCAACCTTACTTGGTTAGATTTCTAGCCAATTATAGTGTAGACTTGGCATTGATTCCCACCTTCCAACAGAGAAAACAAGATTTCCCTATGTGCGGTTGGATGTTATACTCATATTGTGTTTGTTCCATTTCTATTTATGGGAGATCCTGATTTTCAACAGGGTTTTGGGGTTATGGGATTCTAGAAACAGAATACCTCCCATTGTTTGTCCATTGACCCCAGGGATGCAACTTAGGCCAAGTTAGCCCAAAACCAAATCTTCAAAAAAAGCTCAGTTTGGAAGGAGTAGTATAAATACAAATTTGTAGAGTGTAAAACCTTGTATTTCATTTGTATTTGTACTACTTCCAAATTGAGCAAAAAAAAAAAAAAAAAGTTGGGTCAGATCTGTTTGAGGTATGGATCAAGATTAGAGTTAACAAATTATGAAGACAAATTGACCCAACCCAAACCCAACATGTCTTTTTATCTGCTCATGAAAAGCATGTTTGTTTCATAAGGCCACATTTGTTTGGAGTGGAAAATCAAACTAGGGTAAACTTTACACCCCGGTTTGATTTTCCACATGTTTGGAAAGCGTGTAGTTTTACACCGTAAATAGGTGTAAAATTGATTTTTGATTTTTTTACACCGATAATCAATGTAAAATATACATCTAAATTATCGATGTAAAACTAACGTCTCTTTCTTCCTCTCTCCCTCTATCTCTTCTCCTTCTCTCTTCGTAGATCAGGACCCAAGGCGATAGTGGCAGAGGCGATTTTTCTCTCTCGTTCTCTCTCTCTCTTCTCCTTCTTCCCCCTTTTTTTCTTTATCTATTCTGTCACCACCATTGCAACTAGTTGTAGCGGTAGATCTGAAACCAGGGCAGCAATGGCAGCGGCAATCTCTCTCTCTCTCACTTCTTCCTCTTCTTTCCCCTTTTTTCTTTCTCTGTTCCATCACAGCCACTACAACCAGTTGCAACGGTAGATCATAACCTAGGGCGGCACCAACACCAACGATCCTTCTCTCTCTCCCCCCTCCTCCTCCTCCTCCTCCCCCTCCTCTCTTCTTCTTCTTCTTCTTCTTCTTCTTCTTCTTCTTCTTCTTCCCCCATTTTTTTTCTTTCTCTATTCCATCACCGCTGCTACAACCAGTTGTAGCGGCAAATCTAAACCTACCTCTCTTTCGTTCTCTCTCTTTCTCTCTTCTTCTCCTACTTTTTCTTCTTCTTCTTCTTCTTCTTCTTCTTCTTCTTCTTCTTCTTCTTCTACTTCCCTCCTCCTCTGTGTAAATTTTCACACAAATGCGGGCTAAAGGAAAAAATTTATAGAATTAAATTACTATAAGAAAAATAATACATGTTGCAGATACAAGAGTTTACCAGTGATACTATAATTAATTAAATACCATTTTTACATTGATTAACATAAGATTGACCGATACACTTCAATAAATTATTAAGTTATAAGTAGTTATATATGTATACTTGGAAAATTTTATTTTAAGACAAATGCACTTATATATATATATATAATATTTGATATTATATGTTATATAATATGTGTATAACATTTATTTTATATATCAAATAATGTAAAATATAGTGTAGACCTGAGCTAGGTCTGAACATAAAACCTAGGGCCAAGGTGATCACCCCTAGGCAGAAATGGGAATGCAAAAATAAAAGAAATCTTGCAGAAGTGGTAGACAATATTCAAACACAGCGTTGAAATCTCAATGGTGGAATTTGCATCCTCAGGCATGATGAATTGACGTTTTATCAAACATGTTATACGCATCAAACTCCAAATTCTGAAAATAAGACAAAATGATAAAGGAAGCTAAAAAGAAAGAGAAACAACATTTGTTTCAGAATATCAGTGACAGTGAGATTCAACGTACATTTTTATTAATATTCCAATTCCCCCCACTGAATCTCGTTGATCACTTAACTCAATCCATCTTTTTTTGTGAAAGATTCCATAACTTTTTGCTTGGATCGATCGTGGCTTACATCACCTACTTTCTTATCTTTTTCTCTAATATTTCAGAGAATATTTTATTTAACAATGTGCTAAACACAGTCAGGTGATGAATATGGATGGTTTTCCACGACTAGTAAGATTGCAATGCAAGCCCAAGCTTTCCCCAATATGATCGATTTTCTGGGTCTACACTGAAAATTAATTTTACTTTATGGGAATTCCTCACAACCACAACCATAGAACTAGCCTCCATTTGTAGGTTCCGCCATTTCTGTAATTCTATATATACCAGTTCCATGGTACTGGCTTACAGTCTTCTTGTACAGTCGTACTTTACTTCCCAAGCTCCAGTAATCTCCTCTGTGTCGACCCATGATTCAGACTGCATTTGCTTGCATAAGCGCAACTGCCCAAGTTGTCAAGCATTTGATCGGAATCCTCCACAGTCTGCACCCATCGGAACAAAAGAGAAGCTGAGGAGGTATCATTTGAAAAGCTCACCAGAAAGCAAAACAATGCTAATCCGAATTGGAACCAACGCTGGTCAGCACTGAGACGCAGGAGATATAAATTCCACGTGGTGTGTTGACATTTGCGATCGTCGTTTGAAAAAAAATAGAAATAGCCGTTTCTTCCCCACGAGAGGCGGTCCCGAACAAGTTGCACCGGCGCCTTTCATTTTAGAGGAAATAAAGAAATCCAACAAATAAAAAAGCATGTCTCCCTTCTTTCTTTTATTCTGAAACGCTTTGATTTTGGTCCTCCATTTCCTTTTTGTTTCTATCTCTCTCTGGAAATTGGCATACCTCCCTCTCTCTCCTCTATTTCCTCTCAGTATAAAGGACGACAACATTCCCATCGTTCCTAACTTCTTGCGTAGTGGGAGTGTATTGTTTGTTTCTGTTTCAAGAATATCCAGAGAGAGAGAGAGAGAGAGAGTTGGCGTCTTTCCAAGAAAAAAAAATCCGATTGAAAAGTCGGAGACAGAGAGGGAAAGCGTTGGTCGGTTGTTCGTGGAATGAGAGTGGTGGGAGATGGACTTTTGGCCGGAATTTCTTGCGAGCAGTTGGTGCAAGGAATTTGTGGCGGGGGGGTTCGGGGGTATGGCGGGTGTGGTGTCCGGGTACCCCCTGGACACGCTAAGAATACGTCTTCAACAGCCTACCAACGCTAATGCGTCGGCCTTCGGCCTACTCCGCAACATCGTTTCCGCCGAAGGACCTGCCGCATTATACAGAGGCATGGGTGCACCTTTGGTCTCCGTCAGCTTTCAGGTCTCTCTCTCTCTCTCTCTCTCTCACATCCTCTCCTCCTTAATATTCTTATATTCTCCCTTATTTAATACATACAAAATACATTCTTTTTATGTTTTTTGGGTTTTCCTTTTTTTTTGGATAAAACCCATAAATTTACTAATATAAGCTTAAAAGTTAAAACATCGCATATCTAACCAAAAGTTCATAAATTGTTACTTAGCTATTTAGTATTTTGTAAATAATTATTGTATTTATTTAAATAATCAATACATTTTATTTACTTATTTATCATGGATTAAATTATTAATTAACAAATTATAGATAAAACATAATTTTAGTTTAAGAATATAAAAGCATTATAATTTCTATGATGCATAGAATATGTAATTCAGAATTTTCAATTAGTAGCAATTGCATATTTACATAATTATTTTTTTACAAAATACCAAAAAGTTAGAAAAATATCATTTTTGACATAAAATAATGGTTAGGTTAATGATTTGATACTTGATAAATCATTTAAGAAATATAGAACAAATCATTTTCATTATTTTTTATTTTTTCTATTTTTTGGAGAAAATGGAAAAATCTAATAAGGATCACAAAACTAACTATAAATCTACGTTTTTCTTTTTTCAATTGAAACCCCAAAATACATACATCATTGAACATTGAATGATTTTATACAAAAAAAATAATGATTAAATAAAAAATAAAATTACATTCTTGACGTTTTTTTTCTTTGGATGTACAGATTGATAGGGAACAAACAATCCCAACTGTGCTTAAAACAAACAACATAATAATAAAGTTCTGAAAATTAGGATCAATACAGTATCAACATGGGTGGAATTTCCACAAATGTGCCCTGTGCCATAAACGGATATAGCCACCCTCTCTATATATGGATACGGTACAGCCAATACGTCCCATACTCCCATATATCCATATATATTAGAAACATTTGTGGAATTTCCACAAAAATTTTAAACATTGTTTTATTACAATTTTCCCGGATGTTGTATTGGCTTGAAGAAGTTCTTAGGCCCTGTCTGTCTGAATCAAACAGAGTTCAGGAATAGACCATTCCGATTCTAACTGACATGAAGTGGATCTTCTGCAAAAACTTTGAATTATAATAAATGTGTTTCTCTTCTTTCAAAAATTAGGGTGAAAAGTTGATAAAGCTTGATCAAACTTGGGTTGGGATACCTTTTTTTTGTGATAGGGTTGGGATACTTTCTCCACCTCAGAACATGCAGGTCCTTCGTGGGAGCCTGGCATCAAATTCAAACAGGGCTAGTATAGGTATTTTTAAAATGATGTGGCAGGCCAAAACTGTTCAGAAAGGAAATAATAAGCATTTACTAAGAGCCTGTTTGGCATCTTTTTGAGAAGATCTTTTGATAGTTTTGACATTTAAAAGATGCATTGAGTTTTTACATGAATATCTGAGAAAGATACATGTCTTTCTGCGTGAGAATAAAACATGAAAGACGCAAAAAGCTTCATTTGGAGCTTTTTAAAATCAGCCAAAATAGGCTTTTCACGTCTTTTCGAGCTTCGACTCTTAGCGGCTAGGTCTTCCATGAGTCAAATGGAAATAGACCGAAAATCGGTATTCCCGACTTGTAAATAACTGAAAGACTGCACAGAAAGACATGCCAAACGGGCCCTAAATAAGTACTTAAAAATAAACCCAAACTTATTTTTCGGAATAAGCAATTGTCTGAGCTTATTTCTCAAACACAAATAAGTGCTTACTGGTAGGATTCCTACCCAAAATAACTGCTTATTTGAATAAACGCTTATTTTTAAGCACTCCCAAAAACTAAAATATTTGGATATCCCCAATTAATTCTTAACAAGCAAAGAAAAGAATAATAGAAACAAGAGAACTAAAAACAGGGATAAACAAATTTAAATTCATCACTCATGAACCATGGCAACTGATGAGTTGGTCAGCCAGCAGGTTAGGCTCTGAATTCTATGAGAATTTATGAAATATTTGGGCTCCCAGCCACGTTAAGTTCATCATTAAAATAAGCCTGATGATTTGAAAATGAAAATATGTTAACTGAACTTAAGTTACTCTCTTGAAGCATTCAAGAAGAAGCTTGGGAAGTTCTCAGAGACAAACACCTGTACTGTACTGACAATTGAAATTCTTGGTACAGAATGCCATTGTCTTCCAAATCTATGGAGCCTTTTCACGAGCACTTCATTCACCCACCAAAACCATGGAACCTCCTCCCTATACAGGTGTTGCACTGGCAGGATTAGGAACCGGAGTTGTGCAGAGCTTTCTGCTCAGTCCTGTTGAGCTTGTCAAAATACGTCTCCAGTTGAGGACAGGTGGGCAGTCGCACAACCTTCCAAGTGATCGAGAAAAAACCCCAATGAGCTTAGCGAAAGGCATCTTGAGGAGGGATGGGGTGAGGGGGATGTATCGAGGGTTGACAGTCACCACACTACGAGATGGACCTGCACATGCCTTCTACTTCTGGACGTACGAGTATGCACGAGAGCAGCTTCACCCAGGCTGCCGGAAGAGCGGGCAGGAGAGCGTAAGAACCATGCTGGTTGCAGGAGGGCTGGCGGGGGTCGCCAGTTGGGTGTGTTGCTATCCCTTGGATGTAGTCAAAACTAGGCTCCAGTCTCAATCCCAGACGGATAATCCTCCACCCAAATATCGTGGAATTGTTGATTGCTTCTACAAGAGTGTACAGGAAGAGGGTTATCGCGTGCTGTGGCGAGGATTGGGGACTGCTGTTTATCGGTCTTTCTTGGTGAACGGGGCAGTCTTTGCTGCCTTTGAGTTATCTTTGCGTTGCTTATTTAGCAACAGCGACAGCAGCCATGGAAGCACTCAAACACAAGAAAACAAGCTCTAAGCATTCCTTGAGGTGATTCTAAATAAATGTGTAATGTAATAATTTATAAATCAAGGTGGGTATATCTTCAGTTAAGCATTTATAGGTTATGATCGAGAGAAGATAACCCAATTATCAGTTATTACAGAGAAGGATGTAAATATTACCTACAGTTGGGTAAGGAGTAAAGCATATACGGTGTAACATATGTATTATATTACCAATTCAATTTAACATGCTCTCGGCATATAATTCAATTCTCATTTGGTGTGTCTCGTTTGCCCCTCAAAAAAAAAAAAAAAATCCATAGTTTGGTAGATTTTGACAAATCCACACCGATCTAGACATGGTTTTGAACCATTTACACTTTTGGAGGCATCCCCTTCATCAAAGATGCTATTGATGAGTTGATAATCAGGAATTTGACCTTTCTACTATTTGGAAATCCCTCCAATAACTGCAAGTATATATGAGACACTTGAGCTCAAGGTCTTGGTTAATTAGGGGTGTAACTTCGGTTTGGGGTTTGGTCAAAATTTGAATATAATGGGTCAAGCCCTAAAAACTGAGCCCAATGCTAAGTCGGGCCAACCGGAGTTAATTGCACCCTTGGTTTTGCTTTTCTTGTCATTAGGGTTCTTTTCTTTTCTTTTCTTCTCATGTTTGGGTCATCCGGGTGATATAACATTAATTAAGCAGCCTGTCAATCACACACAGTTTGGCAAGCTAAACAATTTGAATCACCGAGTCATGCACCTGCAGAGTGCAGACCCCTTTTCTTTCCTACTTTTCTTTCATTATATCCAAGGTTCAAAATTTTGATATCATACATCGCTTATCAGGTGTATCGTATATCGGGCACTTGACGATATACCCATTTATAGGTGTTTTAAGAACCAGTTTTTATTTAATATAAAATATAATTGAAAATAAATTTAAAAACGAAATTAAAAAGAAAACTAAAAAAATTATAAAAATATATCATTTTAGGTATCAATACGCCCCCCTAACAATATACAGGCGTATCAATATTTTGAACCTTTTGAATATGTCATATACTCATCAACACCCTCGTTATTCTTTCTTGCAAATGAACACAACATAGATCTCTCAATTTACTCATCTACCTTTATTCCTTGGTTTCTTTTTCGGACTGAAATGATGCCCATCCACATTTTGACGTACGTTATTACTTGTTTCTTTCCATCAGAATTCAGACATGATACCCCTTCGCGTTGTCTGCTGACTGTTGTAGCCTCTCCTCTCACACATTTAAATTAAAATTACAGCTTTGCCTTTACAAAGCCCTTGGGGAACCAAAGTATTAGAGATGGAAGTAGCTTAGATTGTCCATCAATGGACCTAGTCCCCACCTTGAGAGAGTTGAGGTCTCCGAATCAAACCGTTTTTTTTTTTTTTTTTTGTGTGTCTAGATTATTACTTTGCACTTTTTAAAGAAAGAAGCAAGTCAATAAGGTTCAAAGTATTGATATGTATCATATTGAGAGCTTTTCGATACGTCCCTACAGAGGGTGTATCGGGGTTTTGACCGGTTCAGATGATGGATGGATCTTAAACTGGCTTCTCTGAACCAAATTTAAAAAAACTAAAAAAAATTACCTATACGCCTCTGCCAGCATATCAAGCATATCGATATTTTGAACCTTACAAGCCAAGTGGTAGGAAATTCGTAATTGGGTCATTTATACTTCTTTTACAATATGGGACTCTTTGCTCTCTTTGGCATCATTGGTGATTTCTTGAAAATCACTGTCATGTCGGAGCCATGCCAGCGTTTGAGGAACCGGCTTTGAAATTTCTATTTCATTGGCTGATTTTTGTGATTTTCAAGAAATTGGCCAAAAATCAATTATTGAAATCAGCCCTTTTCAGAGATCATTCTTTTGGTGATTTCCTGATTTCTAGATGATTACGATTTTTAGAGGATGACATGACATCCAACATGGCTTTGAATTATAATTCTACCACAAAAATAATCAACCCTTGAGAATGTACCAAACAGACTCAAAGCCAATTTCTCAAAAATCAGCTTGATATACCAAATAACAATTTTTGGTGATTTTTCAAAAATCACCAATTTCTGTATGATTGGGAAGAAGGAATCATCACCCATGCCAAACATCACCGTGGTTTGCCACATGTTTACTTTCTTAATTCATCATAGCATATGCCCCAAAGTTAACTAGAGCTATGGTGGAGGGACATTGACCCGGCCATTGTTTTGGATAGGGTGCTCATGATTCGGTTAACCGAATTGTGGTATTTTTTTAATCAAATTGGAACCTCCGATTTTTGGAAAATCGAAATTGAAGCCAATCGATTAATTGATTGATTGGTGTGGTTGTTTGTTTTTTGATTTTTTTTTATTTTTAATATACATTATAAATAAATATATAATAATATAACACAAATACTAGAAATATACATAATATATCATATATATATATATATTTATAATGCATAATATATTCAACTTCACTTCTTCAGCCATTAACAAACCCTTGTCTTTGTTATTTAAAAGTCTTTGGAAGGTCGCCCCGRCGTTTTTTAACCCGAAGGGCATGACCTTGTAACAGTATATACCGAATTCGGTTATGAAGCTGGTTTTTTCCTCGTCGGACTGGTCCATCCGGATTTGGTTGTAGCCTGAGTAGRCATCCAGGAAACTTAGCAATTCGTGTCCCGAGGTCGCGTCCACTAGACGGTCGATCCTAGGAAGGGGGAAGCAGTCTTTCGGGCAAGCTCGGTTCAGGTCGG